ATTTAATGCTGACATTCTTCCTCATTTTGGTAGCTAGCTTGTAATAGAGAGATATTGGGTTTGGAGTCAGGAAGACACAAGTTCAAATCCAGCCTCAGAAATTACCTATGTAGGCACTTTAAAAATGTTTATTGAGTTACTTGACTGGTTGATGCTGGGCAAGTCAATTAAGTTCTTAGCCTTAATTTCCCATCTATATAAAAGGTATAATAATAGCACATACTTCTCAGGGTTGTTGTGAGGATCAAATAAGATAATATATTATCATTTATCCAAGAGGTCTATTTTTAGATCAGAAACCTAATCTATGATCAAGATGGAAGCATTGAAAGGTCATATTTCCATGGGCAGGCTAAGATGGGTTGGCCTCATAGGATAGCCACCTCACCTCTAAAGTCTGTGTGGTCTGAGCTAACTTGGCTCTTTGAGGTCCAGGCACTTGTTGGAGTTCTCACTGTTTTCCCCACACTGAAACCGTAACATAGTATGTAAAGCAAAGGGCCCTGAATTTCCCATGGTTCTATGTTTTCCAACTGTGTTTAATTGAGGTACTGTAGATATTAGGGAAATAAAGTCAGATCCTGTAAATATTCCTAAAGTGTTTTTTTTTTCTTTCTTGGCCCTGGTAACAATAGCAGATATTTAAATAGCACTTTAAGAATTGGAAAGTACTTTGCATACATAATCTCATTTAAACCTCAAAACAACCTCCATGAGGTTGGTATTGTAGGCATAATGATCTGTTTTATGGATGAGGAAATAGATTCTGAAAGGTTATGACTTATCTATGGTCACACCATTAGTAAAGGTCAGAGGCAGGATTTGGGTCAGGTGTTTCCTGATTCCATGTCCAATGTTCTTTTAGTTATGCACATCTTTACAATCCATTGACTGACTTTATTCCTCATTCCCAAGATGCTCCATTTCCTAACTTGGAATATTTTTTCGGGCTATGTCCTCTGTACCTGGAATGTTCTCCCTCCTCATCTCTGCCTACTGGCTTCCCTGTCTTCCTTTAAGTCCCAGCCAAAGTCCTAGCTTCTATAGGAAGAAGCCTTTCCCAATCCCTTTTAATGCTACTAATGTGGATATTCCGGAGTATGAGTTAGAGACATAAAAGAGCTTCTAGACCAGTAATGCTTAAAATGGGATCCATGTAAACTTGTTTTTTTTTTTAATTATAACTGTATTTTAATATCACTGGTTTCCTTTGTAGTTCTGTGTATTTTATTTTATCCATTTAAAAACATTATTCTGAAGACTCCAAAGGCCATTTCACCAGATGGTCAAAGGGGTCCATGACACACAAAAAGTTAGGAACTCATGTTTTAAACCCAACAACCTATTCTCTTCCTGAGACCTAGTTCCATGTAACCATGGTTTCCATGTCTTCAAAGTCTTTAATGGCTAGCACAAATCATTTCCACTTTCTTTGATTAACTATTCTTCCTCAAAGTAACCAGGCCAAGATTGGAGAGATAGCTGAGATAGGGTTTAGTGTTGGTCAGACCCTCTGCTGAGAGATCAAAGATTGTACTAAGTCTCGTCTGACCTTCCTTTATCAACTATATTGGGAAGTGATATGGTACAAGGAAGAAATAACAGTAGATTTGGAATCAAAGGATGTGGGTTTGAATCCTGCCTCTGCCACTGACACCCCAGGTGAACTTGGCTTTGGATAACTGACATGTAATCCCTTAATTGGACTATATTTGAAGTCTTTTTAGCTTAGTAGGACCTTGTATTCCTAGAATATTGTATCACTACATCATCCCACCGAGGCATCTGAGTACTGTGCCTAGTTCCTTCTTTTGTACATTGGAGGATGGGACTTAATGACTTTTAAGGTATCTTTCAGCTCCATTTGTGATCCTATCACCTGTGTGACTTTGGGAAAATCATTTTACTTCTCTGTCTTCAGTTTCCTTATCTATAACATAAGAGTGTTGGACAAGATGACCTCTTAAGGTCCTTTCAGTACTAAATCTATGAAGGATTCTAGGCTTCTACTTTGATAATGGCAAAGGAAGAATTCTCCCTTGGTTTATCAAGAGGATAGTTGAACTGAATAACAAGAGTGGTTTAACTGAAAAGATTTTTGTAATCATGGTTAGAAGCAAACAGCATTGTTATCATGATTTGGCATGACTCTGGGGTGTGTGGAATTGCTCAATTTGAGATGCAAACACAAGTGAGTGTGTGGTTTTGATAATATCTGTGAGGATCTCCAATTTTTGCTGCTGGGCCAAATTCTTTCCATTTCAAGCTCTGTGAGGAAAAAAGTTTTACAATGTAGGTTTATTTTTGTGGTTTAAAGGTTTTTCCCTCTCCAATAAATATGAATGACAGATTTTTAAAAAGAATATCCTCTTACTTTTTTTAAGCAAGGAAAGGCAGGTAGCAGACTGTTCAATAGTCAGCCAGCTGGCAAACATTTATCAAATGCTTACTATGAATACAAAAAGAGGCAATCATTAATAGAAGCACTAGGCATTCTTCACTTTCCTCCCCTAAAGTCCCACTCTGATGCTTCCCATTAGATTATAAACTCCTCTAGTAGATAGTAAGTTCCTTGAGGGCAAGGTCTATCTTTTGCTTCTTTCTGTATCTCCAGAGTTTAGCACGGTGCCTGGCACATAGTAGACACTTAATAAATGCTGATTAATTGATTGAGAATTGAATGGAACCTGTATTCTGGAGGGCCAAATCTATTCAACATAAGCTCTGGCAGTTCATACAAGGTATGGTCCCAGAAATTCAGGTCAAGCCAATACACATTTATTAAGCACCTATTATGTGCCAGGCATTTTGCTAAGCAATGGGGATACAAAGAAAGGCAAAAACATGGTCTCTACTCTCAGGTAGACCACATGTTAATGAAAATATATTGTATGTCTGCTGTTTGAGGCCTAGACTTGTTAAATTTTAGAAGGCTCATCAGTAGGTTGATTACAAAAATTGATGAATTTTTCAGCCAAAGAAATTTACAAAAAAAAATTTCTACTAAATTGTCTAGAGTTTGTGATCTATGTTGGTCGAGGTTGGACCAACACTGAAGAAATCAATTCAATCTTTTTTTTTTTTAATGTGCCTACTACATACCAAGTACTGGAGATATAAAGAGCTTGTATTCTATAGGCAGAAACAATGTGCTCATATGTAATGACATAAGATATGCAAAAAAAGAAATCTAAGGCAATTTTGTAGATCAAGCCACTAGGACCTGGACCTAGAAAGGCTGCATGTGGAAGGTGCCTAAAGCCGAGCTTTGAAGAGATTCTAAGAGGCAGGGCCAGGAAGAGAAGAATCAGTACCTGACATAAGCAGTAAGCATCTCTAATCTGAGCAGGCTGGAGAGGACACAAACAAGCAACATGAATTCTGTCTGAGCCTCAGTTTCCCCATTGGTTGAAAACAGCAAAGACTTGTTATAAACCTGTGTGCAGAAAGCACAGTGTTAAATCCTGGTGGAGATATATTTAGATAAGACTGCACTCATGGATTTTATAGTCACGTAGGGGACCATTGTACATATGAATTCATCTATTTGTCTATCTATTTGTCTTTATCTTATATCTCAAATCTCTGTCATCTCTCTCTCTCTATCATCTGTCTATCTAGACATTTGTCTAATAATAATAGCTAGCATGTATATAGTGCTTTAAAGTTTGCAAAACACTTTACAAATAATTCATTTTATCCTCACAACAACACTGGGAAGTAGGTGCTTTTATCATCCCCATTTTACAGATGAGGAAACTGAGGCAGGTAAAGATCAAGTAACTTGACCAGGGTTACCTAGTTAATAAGTGTCTGACAGATTTGAACTCAGGTCTTCTTTATTCTAGGGACAGACTTCTATCCACTGAATCATCCAGTGATCATTATTCATTATTATACATTATACTACTATATATTATATTATATTATATTATATTATATTATATTATATTATATTATATTATATTA